AGGAAGTTCAAAGTAACCAAACAGATTCTTCCTGCGGAATCAGCCCACCCCATCAGGAAACCATCACTCAACGACCATCACCTGCCCCCGGGGCATGCCCACGGCCACCGGAGACATGGCATGTGTATCCTGAAGCCTCGACCTCCTCTTATTTAAGGTCCGGCACCCAATATGGTCCAGTTCCACCTTTAAAAATGAAAAAGACTCGTCTTATGCCTTTACGCCAACTCCCAGGGCAGGGGCCAAATGGGGAAACTACAGTCACAGTCCATGCCCCCTGGACCCCAGGAGATCTCCTAAACCTTGTTAAACAATTCCCCAATATCAGGGAAGAACCCCAGAAGTTTAGAGATTAATTGGAAACTGTAATCAATTGTTATGAGCCAACATGGGCAGGTTTAAACCAATTAATGAGAAGTGTTCTGCCCTCCGAAGTCCGTAACCGCCTCATCGCACAGGCTAATTGGCCTCCTCAAGGCCCCGGAATGGGAGGTCTCTTAGTAGGTGCCCGAGAACGCCTTCTTGAGGCCGTGCTTAAAATCTGCCCCAGGAAAACTGACTGGGCCAAAATAAATAACTGTAAGCAAAACAAAGGAGAATCCCCAGCAGACTACGTGGATTGCTTGAAACTCGTATTTGAAAGACATTCTGGCATTGAAGATGCAGCTGAAACTGCCCCAGAAGCAGTTGCCACCGCTTTTGTCGAAGGACTTCTTTCTAAAGTCCAGGAACAGCTGCGTATAATTGCTGTAGGTTGGCAAACTAAGACACTTACACCAGAGCTAGTCACCATTGCTAATCACTGTGCAGCCTGCCAAGAAAAGAAAAAGGAATCCACGGAAACTAAGCTAATGTCTTTAGAAATACAAACTTGAGGCAGAGGTAGAAGCCGAGGTTTCCATCAAGGACAATTCAGAGGCAGGGGACGTGGTCGTGGGATGGGACGAGGAGAATTTCAGTCCCAAAATAATGACAGTTGTTATTATTTTGGCCAACCAGGACACTGAAAGACTCAATGTCCTCACCGGCCTGGCCAGCCGGGGATGACCTTTAACCAGCCACCACCTCCTCTCGCTCAATTTTCCATCTCAAATCAAGAAGCCTCCTGTTTGGACAGCCTGAGGAATGATATCATCACAGCCAAAGACTCAATGTCCTCACCGGCCTGGCCAGCCGGGGATGACCTTTAACCAGCCACCACCTCCTCTCGCTCAATTTTCCATCTCAAATCAAGAAGCCTCCTGTTTGGACAGCCTGAGGAATGATATCATCACAGCCCTGCTTCTCTCACTTAATCAAGAGGATCCCTTCGTTTCCTGTTTAATAAATAGCACTCCTACAAAATGTTTAGTAAACACCGGCACAAGTTGCTCTACTCTCTGAGCTGAAGAATTTTCTACAGCCCCCTCTCCTCTGCTATTGTAAATGCTGTAGGATTTTGGTCAAATCAGACTTTTTCCCAATGTCTTCCTCTCTCAGGAGAGAGTTTGTGCTCTCTCCTGAGAGCTGGGCCAGACGGTTCTCTTTTGCCACCATCTGGCCCAATGTCCCAAGCTTCTCCCACCTCAAGGAGGCTCTTAAACACTTAGGGGATTTTTACAGGTGGTATGGGATGTGGTGCTGAGTCACACTAATTAAAAGTGCCTGGACATCACATGTATCAGCATCCCTACAGTGAAAAAATGGCCTTGGAGTGCTTTGAACTGAAGCTCATCGAACCCGTTTTACTTCAAAGTGCCATGCTGCCGTTTTTTCAGTGTGGAACAACACGGCAATGCTAATACACGTGATGTGGAAGGCTGCCAGAACACATCAATTTTCGTGCTCCAGCAGACTCGATTAAACACACTGGATTTATAGTGTGTTGGAGCAGGCTCTGCTTACATGTATATGAACCCTTAATGACTGGCCAAGATCCCTGATCAGGGATGGGCTGAGAGAAGCCTTGTCCCTGGAAGTCAAAGCATAGGGACAGAGCAGCATTCATGGTACAGCAACATCTATAACAATGTTCCCGTCTAATCCAGGGCTCCAAGAGAGATGCCCCAGCTCACTGCTGGTGCCCAACCCTGTGAAGAGCTGAATATCCTCTGCTCCAATGGAAGCACACAAAAACTGCAGGCCCTCAGCACCACTGGAGCTCACTCCCACCATCACCTCAATCACAGAATCACTTCCTGGAGGGAGAGATCCCTGAGAGACCTTTGAGCTGAGCCCAGATTCTTCCCAACCAGAGAAACGAGGGGAGGGGATGAGCAGGAGCCAGTCATGGTCTCTGGTTCACAGATTGTCCCAGGGGATGTTCTGACCAACTCCAGTTGAATGTGGTCCCTTGGGAGGGGAGTACCCTGATCTACCCCAGCACAATCTCTGCCCTGACACCCACCCCAGAATAGCAGGTGGCAGCTTGCACAGGTGCTGGTTACATTGCTCTGTGCTAGCTGAGCCCTACCTGTGCCCAGGCACTGCTCACCTGTGCAGTCAGGGCCAGCTCCAGCCTGTCTGCTGCATCTGCACAAAGGGGCTGGAGCAGAGGGAGGGTCTTTGTCCAGTTCTGCCTCCCTTGCACTCATGAGTGACCCCCACAGGGGCAGCCCCACTGCCTTCTAGGGCTGGCGGTGGGAGGCCAGCACAGGGCAGGTGCTGTAGAGGCCCTAACCGTGGACTGGGGATCCGATCCTGCCTTCTGCACCCAGGCAACATTCCTCCTGAAGCCAGCACTGGTTGTATGTAGCCCAGGAGCAAGTTTGTCAGTGAGGATTAAGGCTACTGACTGATCTGTTTTTATTTTCTCTCCCTCTGTTCTTCCCCGGGACTCTGCCAGAACTGGGTAAGTCCTCATTTTGGTCTCTGCAATGTCTTGCTCATCAATCTATGTCTCTTGGGAGTTGTACATGTTTGTCTGAACTCTGCTTTGTGTCTTTTTCAGCACTCACCAGAGCCCAAAGACATGCAGGTGAGTGAGGCCACCATTTCCTCAGGGCCACCTGGCCCCGGCTCCCCCCACTGCCTCTTGACTCCCAGGGGTGCTGCCTAGCAGATCACACATGCAAGGAGACAGACCATTCCCCAGAGCCTACAGGGGTCCTGCAGGAAGCCCTGAGGCCATCAGATCCTGGTACATCTGACCCTGGTACATCCCTGGCAGCTCTGCTGCCTCCTGCTAGTGAGGTGCTGAGCTGGTCCCTGCTGACCCCAGCCCTGGCTGTGTCTGCTGGATACGCTCCTCTCTCCGTGTGTGATGCCGTGGCAGGTACCAGATGGAGGACAGGGGAGATCTAGACACCCCGAGGAGTTGCTGGGGTGAGGAACAGGGCATCCAAGCCTTGCCTGCCAGAACTTGTAAGGTCCCCTCCATGGGAGAGAGGAGCTGTGTCTCTTCTTCAGGACCCAGAGCCCTGGCTCTCCCTGCTCAGCTGCCAGGGGTCTGGCTGCATCCTGGAGAAGGAAGCAGGGAAGGGGCAGGCTGCTGTGTGAGCCCTTGCAGTCAGGACCGGCACACAAGTTTTTGGGGCCCCCTGTAAGTTATAGTTCTGAGGGCTCCTGATCCATCGAAAAATCAAAAATGTGGGCCGGGGCTGGGGTGGAAGCAGGACTGGGAAATCCTCCTCCCTGCCTGCATTGAGCTCTTTAAACATGGCGCAGGTGCGGGGTGGGGGAGAGCGGGGCACAGCCCCTTGACTGCAGGGCCCCCTCTGGCCACTGGCTCCATAGGTTAGGATGGGCCGGCTCTGCCTGCAGTGCACAGGACACTGCAGCAGCACAAACTCCACGTCAGACTCCTGCCAGGAGCTGGCACCATGACTGTGTGGTGTGAGAAGCGAGGTGCTGCTCAGTATCAGGGTGGGTGGCAGGATCTGACCCTCAGTGCGTGGCTGTTTGTCCAGCAGTGCAAGGAGATCCCAGCTGAGACCAGGCCCTGCTATGCTTAGAGCTGCAGGGACAAGGGGTGGGAGATGACCCCTGCCCTGCCTGGTGGGTACTAATCTAAAGGACAAGAACAGCCCGTGACCCCCTCTTTCCAGCCAAGGCTCAGGGAGCTCTGGAGACCTGCCCAGGGTCAAACAGGGCATCCTGGCTGCAAGGTGTGGGTCCCACCCCCTGGGTCTCAGCACGTAGCCTGAGCACACCCATCCTGGTACCGTGATGGGGTGGGGAGAGGGAATGGCAGTGGGCTGTCCGCTGCTCTCTCCCTCTGCTCTCTGCTCTGCCCATTTCCTAAGTGCCTGAGAAGCAGCTGAGGGGATTTCTTCCCTCCATGTCTGGATCAGAGCATCCAGCAGGTATCACACTAGGTCCGCCCCAGGCCAGGCTGGGCAGGGACAAGCAAGCACACTGAGATGCTGTCTTCTTCCCAGCCTAGACCAAGCCAAAGACAATACCCTCTGTGTCTCTCTCAGGCTACAGGGGCAGGGGAGGGGGTCTGCATTATTACTAACAGAGAATCCCCACCGAGCCCAGAGCTACCACAGGGATTGCCTTGGCTCCATCCTGTCCATGGGGTCCTGAGCGCTGGTGGATGAGGCAGCAGAAGGCCAGTCCATGGTTCCTGTTCCCAGGTCCTTTCCAGACACACTCAGCCCCTAGGATGTGCTGCCCCTGGGCTGCTTCTCCCAGCCATGCTGCCAGTGTGTCCCTCCCTGCCTGCTGCTTCCTCCTGGCACCTCTGGGCTCTCTCTCCCTGGCACGCACCCCTCCCCAGCTGCAGCCCAGTCTGTGCTCAGCTGTTCCCTTTGCCTGTCTATGGCAGCTCTTGCTCAGGTCTCTGCCCTGCTTGGGCTTTGGGCTGTGGCTTCTGCCACTTCAACTCCCTCCCTTCAGGAGGAGGCTTCATGGCTTCTTCCCTGAGGTAGCAGGGAGGGCAGCAGCAGCCTCAGCCAGGCCTGGGGTTGCCCAGAGAGCACAGACACCAGCCAGGCACCAGCTCCTCCAAGCAGCAACAGACATGCACCCAGCTGGCAGGTCCCGGACTGTCTCCCTGTAGTTGTTCTCTGTCCGCAATGGTGCAAACCAGCAGCCAGTCCATTCCCAGCCCCGACAGAGGTGACCCCAGACAGCTGCTCTTACCCGGAGCTGGGAGAGCCAGGTCTGGGTGTGGAAGGGTTAATCCCTCAGGTTTGGGCCTTTGATGACCCGGGTCAGCTGTGTGGCATGGCCTGGAGACTCTCACCTACAGCAGGCTGTGCAGGGAAACCTGTCATGTCCCGCTCCTCACATCCATGCACACGCCCAGTCCCCTGTGCCTCCTCCTCTGGAACCTCTTACTGAGTTTCTCGCTACACTATCCCCATGCCTTTTTATTTATGCACTCCCCAACAATGACCCCACCAAGGCCGAGGTCTTCCTGGTCAACCTCCTCCTGGCCCTGGTCCTGGCCATGCCCTTGACCAGAAAGGAGGCTCTGGCTGGGAGGGTCCCTGAGGAATGTGGTGCTGCTTTCCTTTTCCTGATCCATTCCTGTCTCTGAGCAGACTGCCGCTGGGCAGTGTCAGCTGGCTCCTTGGACACATTTGAGGGCTGGTGGGTGCTGTCTGGTGTGCTGTACTCTGTGTCCCCACTTGGTACACTTGTTATGAACCTTTGACTCCCATCCCTGTTTTTCATCCTTTGCCCCAATAATTCAGTTGCCCCCTTTTTCTGTAGCCTCCCTGCTTAAGGGAGGCTAACACATGACTTGGTGGGCTAGGCCCACACTTTTAAAGGTGGACAAATAGGCATGCACATGCCCAGCCGTGCAGAGCTGTCACCATCCCTGTGTGGGTCAGATGAGCTTGGAGCCAGGATGACCATTGGGGAGGGCCTGTCTTGTGCCAGTTTGCAGCCAGACTGGGATGTGAGAGCCCAGCCCTGCAGGGATCCCTCAACCCTGCCCTGGTTCTGCCTCTGACTGGATGTTGAAACCAAGGCAGGTTGAAGACACAGGTGTTTCTAAACCAGTTTCTGGGAGCATTATACATGCAGGGGAAGTGCAGATGGAGCTGGAGCAGGTCTGTGCAGCTTGTGGTTCCCAAGGACCCAACTGCTCTGGGCAGAGAGGTCAGGTTGAAGCTGAGTCTCCATTTTCAACTTAATTGTTGGGGTGCCCTTCTACCTGCCCTCCCCCCACAGTGACCCCAGCTGCATGCACAGCCCTCCCCTGGGCTGGGCTGGACCGTGAGGGAGGAGCTGGCAGTGGGGTGCCCTGGCTGCAGCTCTGTGTCCTCAGGGCTGGGGACATGGAGGGTCCCAGCTGGGGCAGAGCAGCTCAGCCTGGGGTGGGCAGGGACAGGCACCAACCTGCTGTGAGCAGCAAACCAAGTGAACCAGACCCCAGGGACCCCCTGGGCCCTGCCCTCTCTTCTCATCCCTGCCACCCCCTTCTCCCAGTGCAGGCTGCTCTCGGGGCCCCTCTGCTCCCCCTGTCATCTCCCACCCCAATCCCTGCCAGATCCATCCCTCTCGGCCTCACTGCCTGCCCCTCCTCACCCCTTTCCCAGTAGACACCATCTCATGGGTTTGGAGACTGCTCATCTTGTCCCCTCTCCCCCACAGCTGTTCCCCCAGGGCAGAGCAGCCCAGCTGGGGGGGGTGAGGGGGCAGGGCAGGGACCTGCTGTCATGACGTCTTCTCGTGCCCCTCTCCCTTCCCAGACTTGACCTCCCCCACCCCCTGGCACCTGCCCCTCTCCTCCGCCACTCTGCCCCAGGGGATAAAAAGGCCGGTGGGGACGTGTTGTTCTGCCCTTGGAGCTGTTTCCTGTTCTCCCCATTTCCCTTTGGAGCGATGGTGATTTCACAGACAGGGACTGACCAGCTATTCCTGGGATGCAGCAAATTCCCTGTGATCCTGGGGACCTGCCTGCCCCGGCCCTGACCTGTGACTTTCTCCCCAGTGGATGTGACCCTGGACCCAAACACGGCACATCCCAAACTTGTCCTGTCTGAGAATCAGAAACGTGTGAGACACAGACACACGACAGGATCTGCCTGGCATCCGTGAGAGATTTGATCCTTCTCCCAGTGTCCTGGGCTCTGAGGAGTTCACGGGCGGGAGGCACTACTGGGAGGTGGAGGTGGGAGATAAGACGAGCTGGGACCTGGGTGTGTGCAGGGAGTCTGTGCGCAGGAAGGGACAGGTCACACTGTCACCCAACAATGGATACTGGACTGTGTGGCTGCGGGATGGGAGATATATGGCCAACACCACCCCCAGGACCTCCCTCCCCGTGCATGTGCAGCCGAGGCGGGGGGGGGTTTTCCTGGACTATGAGTTGGGCGAGGTCTCGTTTTACAGCGTGACCGACAGGTCCCATCTCTTCACTTTCACCTGCACCTTCTCTGGGACCCTGTGCCCTTTCTTCAGCCCTTGTGACAATGACGGGAGCACCAATGCAGCTCCCCTGATCCTGGTCCCAGCCCAGCTCTGAGGGAATCCCCATCACTGCCATGACTCATGCACAGACTGTCCCCTCTCTGCCCGGCCAGATTGCCAGCCCCTCGGGTGCCCCCAGGTGGGGGTGGGTGGCGGGGCAGAGCTGGGGTCTCCCAGTCACAGGACATGTTTCTGCCTGGATCCTGCTTCTGGCCTGGACCCCAGGGTGCATTTCCCAACCCCCACACTCACACCCTGCCTGCTGGAAGGGACCATCTCTAAATTCTCATCCTTCACGTACAGATCACTGCTGTCCCCAGGGATTTATCACTTTACTGCTTTGCCTCTCTCAACTTCCAGTCCCTGTCTTTTATATTAAATAAAACCTCTGTGTTATACAGCCTGCTCTGCACATCCTTCCATAGGATCGCATGAGATGACCTTTTGCTCCTGAAAGCTGATGCATCTCAGATTCAGTGAGTCCGGTGGTGCTCAACCTTTCTGGTGTGTGACTCCTGGGTCACGCATCACATCTGGGTCTGAGTGTCTTGTTGGACTGGGCAAATAGCCCAACACTCAGCACATGTAACATGATGCCTGAGCATGCTGGGTACAGGAGTGCCTGGGAGGTGCAGGGTGGGGGGGTGTCAGGTGGGGACAGCATCACTGGCTGTGCCACTGGCAATGCAGCAGCTTTTATTTTTTCACCTCCTGCCCCTGAGGTTGGAGCCCAGAGCAGATGCCCCAGTCCTCCACTTGTTTCTGCTACTACATGGGACTCCCCTCAGGTCCAAAAATTCCCCCATAGCCCAATTTCTGGACCTGTGGGGATGGATGACTTGGCTCTGCAGGCGAGATCTGGCCCACGAGTCTGCATCTATAAGGTGCATCTCTATCCTGCCTCCTGCCTCACTTCAGACTAACACAAGGAACTGCCTTTCTGCAGCAACCCTTCACTCGACCAGCACTCCACCTTGATCTGCCTACCAGGTTGGTCATGGCTTTGTTCTTGGTTTCCTTTATCTTGGTAAAATAAGCAGACCTCTCCTCCCCATCCTCCACCCAGGGGTCCCAGGCCAGGTAGACCTTCTTCCTGGCTTGTTACCTGTATCAGGCCCTGATCTGGTTTTCAATGGCCTTCCTCACCTCCCAACCCCAAGGCGCTGGCTTGTGTAGACTCTGCAACTTTTGATTTAGGTGTTCTTTTTGCTTTCTCCGGATCCAGATTCACCTCCTGGCCTTTCCCCATGCCCTCTCCCTGGTCACTTCTGGGTTGAGCTCCACCAGAAAAGGAGCAACTGGGAAATCAGTGTCAGAAGCACCAGGATAAAGTCAAGCTGTTCTTCATGGAGGGTGGAGAAGTCGTCTGTGTGATCTGCACAGAGTCCCAGGCTCACTGCAGTCACACAGGGCTTCCCATCACGGAGGCTGCCAGCCATTACAAGGTAGGAAACACCACTGATCTGGGAAAATCCAATGAGGCACAAGTGGTCTGTTGAAAGTGTGATACAACACACCCAGGTATACAGAGCAGTGGCAGGGGCCAAGCTGGACATGAGCAAAAGCATCTGCCCAGTGCTAGGTGAAGTCGAGGACCTGTCATTGCATTTGCTCCTTTCCTGGTTTCAACTTCTGCTGCTTAATCTTCACCACCATGTTTCTCAGGTGGGTGTTGGGCCAGAAGCTCCCTCTCAGGACCCCTGCTCTGCACCTGGTACAGGGGACGGTGTCACCTGGGACATGGGCATGTTCCTCGCAGTGCTGGGTGATGCCAACTTGGCAGAAGTTGTCCTCACTCTATGGTCATTGGCTCCATCAGGAGCTCAGGGCAGATGGACAGGTGGTCTCCTGCCCTGTGTCTCATCCTGGAGCTGAGCTCCTGTCTTCTGCTGACTTTTCCCCCCATATTTGGGCTCGGACTGATTCCTGAATGTATCGTGTTTTCAAGTAAATCCACCAACTTCTGGGAATAAAGAGGAGGGGCCAAAATGGAAAGGGAAAGTAAATGAAAGAGTATTTATGAGTAGAGAAAAAGGAGGGGGGAGAAGAAGGGAAGCAGAATAGGAACAGAGAGGAGAAAGGACAGGAAAGGCAGAATGGACAGAGGCAGGAGAGGAGAGGTGAAACAACACTGGTCTGCATTGGTACATGAACCAGTCAGAGATGAAACAATGCACTCCCAGCTCTTGTCCTTGTGTGGTAACATCCAATGAAGAGGCTGTCATAGTGTAGATATAACTTGTGTTACTTGTGCCCAAGTGTATCACTTTACACGTATCTACATTGGATTTCGCCTGCCATTTAATTGCCCAGTCACTCAATGGCATCAGATCCTTCTGCAGTTCCTCACAGTCCGCCTTATTTTCACTGCTTTGAATAAGTTTGTCATCTGCAAATTTGGCCACCTCATTACTCACCCCCTTTTCCAGATCACTTATGAATATGTTAAACAGCACTGGGCCCACCGCAGATCTCTGGGGTACCCCCGTGTTTAATTCTTCCCATCTGGAAAAGGAAGTATTTATACTCCCTCTTCGCTTTCTATCTTTGAGATGCTATCTAATCTACTTATAAACCATTTAATTAATTTCTAATATCATCTTGTTCCCGGAGCAGGATGTGTTTGCACTAGGGTAGTGGGGGAGGTTGCCAGCTTGGCGCTCCAGGCAAACAGGATTTTTTAGACTCAATCAGCGATGATGAAGAACAACAGCAGAAAATAGGAAACTCCCAGCCCAGTTGTGTCACACAAGCTGCTGTCTCTCTTCTTGGGTGTTTGTACATGCCATCGTGTTTAATCCTCATTAATTTAACAAGCTTTAAAAATTTGAACCTGGTGCGTCGCGTTTGTGTTTACACGGCACAGGCTTTCAAACGAATTAAGTCCAGTGTGAAATTCCCTGCAAATTCCAGTAGGGGAGCCAAATACCAGTCTAGCTCAGTTCACACCCCCCTGCTCCCACCAGCTGAGTAAAGCATGATCTCTGACATCTGGGCAGGTCAGGAGGCGGGGGTGGAGTCTGGAGCTGCTGCAGGGCAGGAGGGGGAGGGGTTGCCTCTGAGGGCAGTGGGGAACTCCATGGGCAGCTGGACAGCACAGGGCCAGTGCCAGTGCTCGCAGGGGCTGAGCGGCCAGGAGACACTGCCCAGGGGGAAGGAGGGGGAAGGGGGCTGTGGCCAGGCAGCCTGACGCAGTGCAACAGCCCCATTCCTCTGCTGTGTCCGAGCGGGTTTTTTAAATGCAAACTGAATGTCCGGGATTTCCTCCCCTGGTCCATTTTCAATATAGCCAACAAGTAGAACAACAGTTCCCAGAATACCTAGCGTGGCAGGTTTGCAATGGGGAAGCTGAGTTTGAGATTTTCCTTTGCTCCGCTGGCGGGAGCAGGGGTGACCTCCTATCAGAATCATAAGGCACCTTATAGACTAATTACTTCAGAGATGCAGAAGTGTCTGTAAGCAACAGCTCACTTCCTCCAGTGCTGCCTGTGCGGGCACAGAGAAAATCAACTAGGCAGCAACTGTAACACAGGGGAGCAGACTTTCACGTTACTGGGCCTTACATGCACATGCACAGTCAGTTGGGTCCTGCTCAAAAACCGAGGCTGCACCACGTCACCTCTGATACAGGAGCGTACACAGTCCTGTCCACAATGTACATGTGTGTGCACACACACACCAACCACCATCACAGGATCACACACTCACTCACTGCCACCACCACATGTATGTGCATGCTCTTGTCTCTAGTGCTCACATGCTACCAGACACATCTGCGCACACACTTTTTTTTAATAAATATATTTCGTATTCCAGGTCAAATAAACAAAATCAGTTCTAAATCATATCAATTGAGCAGAACTCAATCATTCCATAAACCATATCTATTTAGGAGGCAGAAACTCAATCATTCCAAATACTACGTATGGCACTACTTCCGGCAAGCATCCTTTATCCCCGTCCTTGGGGCGATGTGTAGGGGGTGCACATGGGTGCATTTGCATCCCCTGAGCATGGTGATGCACCCCCTGCAAAAAGGCTGATGCTGCCAGTGACGCCTGTGGGTGGTCACCAACCCCCAGTCGGTGTTCGCCACCCCTTCCCCCACTGCTGACAGTGCCGCTGTGCACCCCCAGATGCCAGAGGCACGCGCTGTTCATGCCCGTCCTATCACCCTAGGACTTCAGATGTTCCCGAATCCTTTGGCAGGCATACTACAGCCCCAAGCCCAGAGGTCTAGGGGTTCAGATGCCCCCACACTTGATCTTAGCCCACAAGAGGCGCACACACACACACACTCATGCACAAGTGCAGGCCAAGCTCCCAACCCTACACTTCCACATATGAAATCGCCCGAGAGACAAACAGCCTCTCACATGTAGTAACACCTGAGCAGGCCAAGATCCCATTTCCCATCCCTTAGCAGGCCCTCATACCCACCCACCCCAAGACGTGCTGGGCAAGGCCATGGTCCTATCATCCTCACCACTTTCTGGAGCTGTTGCAGGACTCAGACACAGCTCCAGATCAAGCAGGGTTTCCCCCTAGTCTTACAGATGTTTTGTCAGGACACAACTTCTCTGCAAGGCCACTTTACACTCATTGCAGAGCCACTGGTACTTGGCAAAAACAGTGATATCCTGCAAGGGAGCACAGCACAGGGTCCTGAGCACAGGGATGGGGCAGTTGGATGGAGGGTGCTTCTTCATCCCGCTTTGGGGTCCCAGGGTGCTGGAGACCCCCTGCCATCCTCCACACAGCAGCCCCCTGAGTCGCAGAGACAAGGCAGACAACTCGAACTCTGCCGGGTGCTGCCCAGGAGGGATCACACCAAGCCCTCCTGAATGCAGCCTGTCACCGCAAGGGGAAACTGGGCACCATTAGCTCTGAGGCACTGATACAAGGCCACATGCTCCAAGCACAGGATTGTGGGGAAAGCTCGCAGGCTCCATCCCTGGCTCTGCCATTCACTCCCTGGGTGGTTATGGGGCAGTCCTTCCCACAGCCCCTGCCTCAGTTTCCCCGTATGTGAAACAGGACATGGCCTCCCAGCAG